AGTGGTATATATTAATGATGTTTATCTTTTTGTTATTTAATGTGATTTGAATGCCGTTAGCTTCTAGGTTTGGCGTGTCTATCTTTATTTCTTCGTAGTTTATATCTTCCCTGATGTATATAATCAGTCCTCCTGCGGCTCTACCTGTTTTTGGTTTAGCTCTATCTGTTCTAACTGAGTTATAGTTCGGTAGTGTGTATTTGGATTTTTTGGAGAATTTAGTTTCCTGAATACAAGCAATATGTGGGCCTTTATCTCGTTTAAATTTAGCTTTTAGTTCATTGCCGTGGGAGGTGAGTCCGTTGGCGTTCCACTGAAAAATATTTAGTCCTTCCATTATTGTGGTCGGGTGTTTGGTAATTTTCGTTTTATTTTTATTTTACTTGGTGAGTTCTTTTAGGTGGAGGTTAAAGAGGAAGAAGGGGAGATTGGTTAAGTTTAGATTGAAAGCTACTTTGTGGAAGGATTTCATACTTGCGTTTGGTGAGTTTTGACTATGCATGTAAGCTAGGAGTAAAGTGAGACTATTTTGGTTTTTGAAGGTAGTTTCATTTGTTTTAGTTGGAGTAGCTTCGATTGTTTCTTCTGTTGTGGAGTACTCTTCTTCATCAGTTAAGTTAGAATTAGCTGTTTGGGTTTCCATAGGGGTGGCTTGCGGTGTGGAGGGTTGTGTTTGGGCTTGCGGGGTGGGCGTAGCTGTGGATTTAGTGTTTGTGTTTTTTTGTTGTGCTTGCTTGTGGGTGAATGTTGTTGCCTTGTGGGCTGTAGAGTGTTTGGGTGAGGGTCGTGTTGTGGTGGTCGTTTTGTGGTTTGTTATGCATGCGGGTGTTGATGTTGTGGCTATGTGAGGTATGGGAGAGTTGGTGGGTGGTTGTGTGGCTGCATGTGTGTGTGAGGTGGGTGCGGTTTCTATGTCGTCGTCCCAGACAGAGCTTGCGGTTATGGGTGTGGTGTTTGTTTGAGGGATGGTGTTTGGGTGCGGTGTAGGGAGAAGCGGTTTTGATGCGGGTGATGCAAATTTTCGTGTTTGGATTTTGGCCGTTTCTATGTTAATGTGTTTGTTGGCCTGCTGGGTGAGGATGTGTCTGTGTGGGCATTGGTTTGAAAGTGAGGTGTGTTTGATGGATTTGCAGTAGATGCACCAGGGTGAGCATGTGCCTGTGCAGTCTGTTTGTGCGCATTTTTTACATTTAGTTTTTTGAAATGTGCATTGGGAGGCTGTGTGATTATATTTGAGGCAGTTGGAACATTGTTTGACCTGTTTTATATAGGGTTTGACTTCTAAGCTAGTGTGGGCTCCGAAAGATATGTGTTTAGGGGCTTCGGGAAATCTAGCGGCCTTTTTCAAGTTGATGATAACAATTTAGGTTGGGACCGTTTTTCCATTTCTAGTTGAGGTGATTCTGCGGGTACTTGTGATTTGAGGTTGAGGGTTTAGGTCTTGGTTTATGTTAGCTTCTAGGGAGTAAAGTTCTAAATCTTCAGTTGTTTCTCTTGGATTGACTCTTATTACGCCTCGTGTGTATTGCTGCCAGTTTGGTTTTTGTTTGATTACTGTAACGTGGAATATTTGAGTTAATTTATTGGCTGCCATGAAGGATTCTTGGTTAGGGAAAATAATTTGGTATCCTTTGTTGGCTTTTTTAATGTTGCTGTAGTTTATCTTTTCTCGTTTGAACCAGAGTCCTATTTTGTCTATTGAAAGTTGGTGTGTGAGTGTGGTGCCTGAACCTGCTGAGAAGAAGTAGAGGGCGAAGGTGGTGAGGAAGGCGGCCGGGGAGGGTGTGGGCGATGGAGGTGGAGTGGATGTGTCGAGTTTGCGTTTTTTGGTGTTTTGAGGTGGCTAGTTGGCTGGTTTGGTGGGGGAGGTGTGTTTCGAGTTTTCGCCATACTCGGTCGGGACGATGTTTTCGAGTGAGCTCCCGGAAGTGTTATGCGCTTCTGCAGGCGTGGGTGAGTAAGGAGATGGAATGTCTGCGAGTGTGGCGTTGCGGGTGTCAGTCATGTTGTTTGGGTGTTGTGTTGGAGAGTTGGAGAGCGTGTGTTGTGGTGAGTGGTGGTGGAGCGGGAGTGGTGTTTTGGGGAGGTGAGTTGGTTTGTTGTTTTTACTGGGTGAGTTGTGTTTAGGAGGCGGAGGAGGTTGCGGTGGTTATTTGTTGTTGGTTTTAGTAGGAGGGTTTGGGAAATGGATTAATTATTAAAGATTTATTTTGTTGCTGGAAGGCTGGGATTAGGTGAGACAAGTGGAAAGCGGGAATTAGGAGATATTTAGTCGAAGGAGTGGAGGTATGTGAGTGGTGGGCGTGGGTGGTGAGTAGGAAAGAGCGTGCGTTGTGTTAAGGAGAAGGGGGGATTAGGTGTTTTTTGTTTTTAGGAGTTGGGTCAAAGGGTGTGTTTGAGTGGTGGGCGTGGGTAGTGAGTAGAAATGAGTGCGAGCTGTGTTAGGGAGATGGGGGAGGATAAGGTGTTGGTTATTTATAAGAGTTGAGTGTTGTTGTTTTTTGAGGATTTAGGGGTTTTGTGATTAATTCGGTGAGAGTGATGTATGTGAATAAGGATGAAAGGATAACGTGATAATTACCGATGATGGATTTCTCCTTGGCTGGCTATCAGGCAATGCTCTGTGCTGGCTTGGGAGGTGTTGCTCGCTTGGAGTACAAACTGCAACTGCACCGATAAGCCCATCTACCATTAATTAGTGTCGTGTGTAGCTAACTGAGAAATCTCACTCACTGCTAAGTGTCACTGACAAGTGGCTGTACGCAATCAGTGGTGAATCAACACAATCAGCAGTGACGGATCAACCTTGTTAAACTTGCATTGTGTTAATCTTACCTGTACCTGTGATCTTATCTGTAAAACAAACATAAAACATATAAATTTTACGAGATTGTGTCCAAGTGTCAGTTCACTTGCATATGCTATCATAGTAAGAGGAAAGCTATCAGTTTAGACACAAAATTGAGAATTATAAATGCGGTTGATTCTTACATTTTGTACATGTATTTGATAACAATGTTCGAAAAATGTGATGAATTTAATGTTATTAAATGAATGTTATAAAATGTTATCAATTGAATGCTATGAAGTGATCACTGCTAATACAAGTCAATGCTGCAGTTACGTGTATTGTGTTTGTTTTATCCAAGATGGCAGACGTTTGCGAGTGAAAACGTGTATAACGAACAACGGATATTATGAACTGATTTCTCTGGTCCCTTGTAGTTCATTATATCCATGTTCTACTGTACAGCATTGTGGCAAATGATCCTCAACAAATTTATTGTCATAATTTGAATAAATTTGCCAGATCATCAGGCTTTTTTTAATATAGATTGATATCATTTGAGATTTCAACCATATTGCCGCCATCTTGGACTTTCATCACCACCAGGGGGTGCTCCATACCATAAATCATAAACACCTTTTTGTGATTAATCCTAAATACAAAACAATGATAATTTGTATAAAATGACCAGAAAACTATGATTTATTGAGTATAGACTGATATAATAAGAGATTTCAGCCATGCTGGTGTCCATCTTCGATTTTCTACCACCAGGAGGCACTGCTAAGGTGAATCCATATCTAGAATTATGTTCGGATTGGTTCAAACCCAAAGTGCACAATTTTTGCCTCAATCACACCAGTACAGAGGGTGGGACCAATGTGGGCTTGAAAAGACAGCCCTATCTTACAAATCAGCTGTTTATGATCATGTGATATTATTTGGGACAGTTGTGAGAGTTTTTTCTGCATCAAGATTTAATGGCTGTCAAGTGACTTATGTTATTCTTCAGAATGAAAAAAACCCTTTTCAATTCTTGGCAGTTATGTTACTTTTATTCTGCCCTATCGAGATATGTATTTTGTCGTGACCAGTGTCTGGGTATGGGTCTCATATTCCATATCATTGGACCCCAGCTGGAAACTAAACTTTTCCTTACAGTGCTGGAGGTCAACACATTCCAAGCCGGAAGATCGCATCATTAAACTGGAAGTGCATATTTCATTCCTAATTATGAAGCTAGAGGCAAATGACTTTCAGTTGTATAGTTGTATTTGCACTGGACATCATCAGGGATCAGGAATATCGATAGATCGTCTGATTTGGTCCAAAATGTCCAAATGGTTCAGGATGTTTCTGATAGAAAGTTTGGATACATTCAGTAAAAGATGGGGGCTGCATCTAGGAATGTACTTAATTCAAACACCTTTTCTGCGTCATTGATTTTTAAATGTAATACATGCATGGTACTTTTTGCATCTACTTGTGTATATGACACTAAATAAACATAGCTTCGACATTTATTGTTGAAATAATTGGCACAATTGAACTTTCTTTCATTATGGTATGTCCTTACTAATTACAGAGCTGGGTGACTGATAATGACATTTGATCACAAATACAAAATGAGAAATGAAGCATGAATGTTAGATATAACTATAGATAATATCCGATGTGGTATATTTCATCCAGTATAGAAATAAGGCATCATACATTGTGATTTTCTACATCTATAGGTACTTAGGAAGAAAATCTTATGGTCATTGCCTTATACATGTATTTTGATTTTTCATAATTACACTTTTATTAAAAGTAATGGATAATGAGTTGCAATCAGTGTAGTTGTTTATGAACTTATGAGTCACATCAGCCAGATGTGAAGTGGCAGCGATTGGTTTGGCAAAAACTTTCCAACATCTTTTTGTTATTATTGCTTTTTGTGTCTTTTTCTGCGAAACTAGTTCAAATGGTCTTGAACTGGTTGTTTCCGAAACAGTACTTAGAAAACTCTCAATGGTAGATTTTGACACTAAGGATTTGGTTTTAGACTATTTGCACACACAACAAGATCAAATTGTCCAGAGATGTTAGTTTCTGGAGCAGTTATCTTTTTCAACAATGATAACATTTTGTGTCGGTCTTCATAAATCTGATTTTAGAAACTCCAAGGTAAATTGATTATTGTGAAATGTTGAATGGGATGTTTTTGTAGATTCAGTTGCCCCCTCAGAGTCAGGCCGTACACTGGCTGACCTTCTCCCCGGTGGAAGATCACTTCTATCGCCGACAGTACCGTGACTGTGCCAAGGAGGCAGCTCAGGTACACACTTTGTATATAATACATGTGTCTATATTGTACTTGGGCCTGTGGCCTTTATACTGAAATAAACTTAAATATAACTGCTCAAAAACATAAAAATGCATTTTTAGCTCACCTGACTGAAAGTTAAGTGAGCTTATGTCATTGCTTTCTCAAAAAACACTCAACCAATGAAGCTGAAATTTCACATACTTGATCTCACCAATGATGAAACTTCAGTTTGTTCAAGAGGTTTGAATCTGATTGTCAATATTGCTGCCACAGCATCCATATTCAAAAACCTATTTATGACCATTATTCAATCATTTTTTTAACAAAATGTCATGACATGTGGTATGTGTAGTAAGTAGTTTGGCTCAATGATATGTTTCATTTCTTCGCGATATTTTACATTTTATATTTAACTTTTATTTGACCTTAGTTACTGCAATGATATATTGAAAAATATTTATCGTCATAACTCAGCCATTTATGTACAAAATGTAATGAAATATGGTATTTGTTTAGGTAGTTGTGGGATGCAAACACATATGTTCCGTCTTTTGCAAGATTTTCCATTATGACATTACCATGGTCATGTAGTGTCTCAAAATTTGCCTTTTGCTCCCTAAACTTCTCTTCTGTTGAGAAACTGAATATTGGCACGTATGATACTCCTCATGATTACATCCTATTTTGTTTGGAGAATTTTGTTTTACCTTTCCTGACGCTACACAGTAATTTAGATACCCTACCTCTTACAAGCAGACAGTACTGGAAACTAACTATATAACCCTCGCCCTGATACCCACAAGTTAACTACATTGGCTCATACTCCCTCACATTCTATTCTTCTCTGTCTACCTAATGTCAGACGTGCTTATAGTGAACAGAATATTACCTTGGATATTGGTGGTTCTCCTCGAGTTTATCCTTCCTTTGGCACTGATCCACTTCTCTGTGGTATATTTCTGATGTTTGCTTTTTCATTTACGCAAATTATGGTGACCACATAACTGTGCACATCTTTGCACCATGGTCGCCATCTTGCATTTAACAAATCTTGTGGTTGCGAGTTGTACTATCTTCTTAAATTCTTACTTTCATTTTTAGCACTATTAGTAAATCTGTGATAACTGATAAAAAATTGAAAATCAGACATGTCAGTTTGAGATGAGCAGAGAGTGTGATCTTGTCCACTCAGCTGAGACAAAGCCCTGGTGTAATTTCGACATGCTCGACAAATGCAGTGAAACATGAAAAACTGAGAATTCACTCTTTTTTCTAATTTCCATAGTTCCTGTATTTCTGTACAACATAAATTTTGTCGTAAGTTTTAGGGCTGGGACGGGTAACTCGGGTACTCAGGTCGGATGGGTCCTGAGGAGGACCCGGATACCCAAAGCACTACCCGGACCCGTGGTCAGTCCTGTGACATATTGTTTAATGAAAAAACTCACTATGGCTCAGTGGTTCATTACTAATGTTTGCATTTCTTTCTGTTGATGCACACATTCCTTTTGAATTGTATATGTTTCAGTAAAGATAAAGCATCAGTCAACTTCAGTGTACGCACGATTTGATCGTTTCATAAGAGACCATATATCTATTATATGGTCTCTGGTTTCATACATGTATCTAAACAGTTTTGCCAGTTACAAATATCTACAGTTAAACTATTCCCAATCAGACATTGTGTTCCCAACTCTTGAGACATACAGTGGGTACCTGGGTAGGGTGGGGTGATAGGGGGTTGGGTACAGGGGTAGTAAATTTGGACTCGTCCCAGCACTAGTAAGTTAGGTCCTTATTGTCTTTACTGAAGCTTTTATCATCTTGGTATATTGCAAATGGATGTGCAAGTTTCACAAATGGATTGAATGAGTATGTGCACATATACTGAACAACAAAAGTTCCTTTGACATTGAATAAGATTTAATGCAAAGTTATGTTTTTTACCAAATCTTAAACAATTTCGGTTTGCAACAGAAAAAAGACTCCTGTAAGTGTTCAAATGGTTTAATTTGCCATACTGACTTCAGAAAAACATGAACATGGTAAAATGTCAATTTACAAATCAGTAGCGTGTGTGTCCACCTCTGGTTGCGATGCAAGCAACACATCTTCGTCTCATTGAATGAACCAGGCGTCACACAAAGTCCTGTGGGATATCTGTCCATATCTGTTGGAGCCTGTTTCGAAGTTCCTGAAGTGTCTGTGGAACATGTGGTTGACGTCGAAGGCGCCGATCCATCTCATCCCACATGTGCTCGATTGGTGAAAGATCAGGGGAGCGAGCCGGCCAGGGGATGACATTCACATTGTTTTGTTGAAGAGAATCCTGAACAAGTCGAGCAATATGAGGCCGGGCGTTGTCATGTTGAAAGGTAATGCCTGGGCCATGACGTCGCAAAAATGGTAGAACAACAGGGCCGATGATTTCATCGCGGTAGTGCTGTCCATTGAGATTTCCCTCTACCACTATCAAACGGGTCATCTGTCTTGCTGTAATCCCACCCAATACCATAACGCTGCCGCCCCCGAACCGATCTTCTTCCATAACACAATGATTGACGTAACGTTCACTTCGACGTCGGTACACTCGAGTCTGTCCATCGCTGTGGCTGAGGTGAAAACGAGACTCGTCAGTGAATAGAACTTGTCCCCACTGCATGGCCGTCCAGCGTAGATGCTGTCTGCACCTCTGTAGACGTGTTTGATGGTGGTTTCCTGTCAAAATGGGACGTTTGGCAGGTCTTCTGGCGACAATCCTTGCACATCTGAGGGGACGATGTACGGTTTGTGAAGATATTCATCGAAGGCCAGGGATGCTTCTTGCAGTCAATGTTGCCTGCTGGAATCAATTTTGTAGGTGTGTTGTTCGAATCCAGTTGTCTTGTCGATTATTGGTTATGCGTGGCCTGCCACTCCGAGGATGGTCTCTGATGGCATTCGTCTGTTGCCAACTTTGCCATAAACTCCAAATGGTGTTTCTGTGGACGTTAAATTGTCTTGCAACATCACATTGACTCGATCCTGCTTCAAGCATACCAATGGCTCGCAGTCGCTCATTTTCGGACAGGCGTGGCATTTTGTAATGTTGAATAATTGCATAATTTTGTTGTTTTTCTGAGTGGTTGTTGTCAGCACGATGCTAAACACTGCATATGGAACCCATTGACGCACATGTTTTTATACCCATTCTTGGGTAGTGTAATGCATGGGGCTTGCATAAAAGTCAACTTTTGCATGGAATGCATGCTTTTCTGTAGCAGTTGCATTTTTGTGACTTGATTCCATACATGTACTACAATATTGAAAACCAAACTTTACTTGTTTGAAAAATACACTAAAATATTGGTGTCACAGGAACTTTTGTTGTTGATTATATGTCACGAGTAGTATAGGTAATGATGGTTCTGGCTCACTTCCACTAGAGTCAGATTTATAAACCTATACTGCTGCTACAGAGGGAATTTTTTATGCAAAAATGATAATGTGAGTCAGTGATTGTCATGATTCGTATTAAAAGAAACATCAATATTAATTAATAATGGATAAAATTTACTATAGCCCACGATGATATTGGAAAGGTATAGGAGCAATACAAAAATTAGCCACTGCGGCCAAGTTATCTAAAGATGTGGCCAAGGATTGGCTAAAGAAACAAGCAGTGCTGCAAATATACTTACCGGCACCGCATTATATCCCGAGGAAGAAGTTTGATATTTTTACAACGAATGAAGTTCATCAGGCTGACCTCTTGTTTCTTCCCTATGATAAGGTAAGACGCAAAACGTAGAAATACGCTTTAACCGTTGTGGATGTGGCTAGTCGCTACAAGGAGGCTGAGCCATTAACCTCGAAAGATTCAACAGAAGTAGCTAATGCACTGAGTCGCATATATAAACGTGGACCACTAAAATGGCCCAAGTTATTTCAAGTAGATCCTGGTCGCGAGTTTATGGGATCAGTAACTAATCTATTAACAAAGCACGATGTTGCAATCAGGCGTGGTGAAAAAGAGGCCCACCATAGTCAAGCTATCGTTGAAAGATTTAACCGGACATTAGCGGAACGTTTGTTTGGATATCAGTATGGGATTGAAATGAAATCAGAACGATTAAGATCAACTGAATGGGTGACATGATTATCAGCTGTTGTATCAGCACTAAATAAAGAAGTAATGAGATTAATCGGGAAGAAACCATCCGATGCGATTAAAATGAAATCTGTGACTTCCGAATCTTCAGCACCGAGGAGAGGCAAAGAACAAAAACTTCCAGATAGTGTAAGCGTAAGATATTTATACCAGCCCGGTGAACTTGAAGGAGGCCAACATCGTGCAACTGATCCGATTTGGTCTCTTAAGATATATAACATTAGTCAGTTGGTTATGAAAGAAGGCAAGCCTATTCTTTATTATCTTAAAGATGGACCAGGTAGGGCATTTGTACGAGAAGAGTTGCTCATACTTCCAAACGATACAGTATTACCTCCCTAAGTAACCATTAGCATAGGTAGTTACACCATCCTTATCAATCCATTTCTTTGTATCTAAGGGGGATAATGATGTCTTGTTCATTCTTAATCCGTATATCCTGTGATTGTCACTTCTTAAAGTGTTCATCTCGTGTTTGAATGTTCTACCATTGAATAATGTTTCTTTATACTGTTCGTGTTTGATATGCTTTTTTACCACATACTTCTTAACACCCTTAGCTTTTCTTATCTCCCCATTATCAGACTTCTTTATAGAATACATCTTAGGTCTTAATCCGACATACTCCGCTATAGGGGTCCCAGCACATTCATCCTTCATCTTACCTAACACCTTTTTATTTACTACGCTGTGCAGTGGATTATCTTTTGGGTAATCGCTCGTGTAGCACATATCTATTTTTTCTGCCATATCTTTATACACGTCCTCGGTTTGTATTTCCATCAACAAAGAATCTGTGTTGGTATAAAACACCTCGCATCTATCACCGTACTGCTTCCTAAGTTTGTTGTAATAAAGG